CGAGAAAATTACCAATGGCGAAACCCTCGGAGCTGTACCTCGGTCGCGAATAATTCCCCGGTTCGCAGATACGCGCGCCGAGATAAGGCCAGCGACGTAGCTCCGATTCGGATCTCTCTGTCGCGAGGCTGATTTACGAAACGAGTAGTCGAAAGGACAGAGAAGCAACGCCGATAGGGTGTTTCGAAATCGTAGCAGTTAACACCGAGCGACGTTAAACGCGGCCGATTATCGATCACCGTCGTCGCTCGCCGGCGCGAGGATTACTCCTCTCGCTGCCGTCGGGCCCCCGAGGCCAGTTCCGGTCTTCGAATCGAAGGAGGATCGAACAACACAGGGTATCGACGATACCGCGTACGGATCGATCCATCGCGCGGAAAGATTCCGACGAGTCGCCGCCGCGATAATCTCGCGCGGTCGACGCGCTTTCCGCGTCCCGCCTCGGCAGATCGCGCCTCGTCATCGCGCTCGGAACCCCCCATATCCGTTCGATAGTCTCCCCCTCTGTCTCGATCGATTTCCATTTAACGATCTCGGGAATTCCCGGAATTTCCTTTCGCCCCGTTAATCGAGCCACTTGATCGTAATTAATCGTGCCGCCCGTATCGCGAGCTGCGCCGGACAACATTAATATTCATAATTCAGGGCTGTCGCGCTAGGTAGATGCGTCACGTGTCCCGCGAATATATATCGATATCGATAAAATAATTTGTATGCGCCTCTGGAATCCCGATTCTAATCGGAGAGGGGGAACGTCGGTTTAGCGTGTTTCTGTCGACGTCACGCCGCCTTATCACAATAGCCGACCCGGCTTTCCATATTGGCCTCGCATAAATCCGATCATGCATCTCCGATTCCGATCTCGCCGGCCGCCGCCATTAGTTACCAGAGACTTACAATGTTCCCCTTGGAACGGAGCTTTACGGCGTCGTCGATCGTCGCCGATTTCCCGAGAGTGCCGGTGAGCCGGCGCAAATATCGTCCTCCCGCTTCCTCCCATCGTTTCCTCGTTTTTCTTCCACGGCTCTTCCGCTTCCTGTCCGCGTCCTCCCGCGTCCTCCCGCGTCCTCCCGCGTCGCGTACCCCGAGGCCTCTCATTTTTCTTCCTCTCCTTTTGTTCTTTCCTACACCGGGTACCGTTCCGCGGAACGCTCGCTCTCCGCGTGTATCCACGGCTCTTGTCCCATCCTTCGCCGAAGGAATCTTTCGTTTCGAAATAAGGATTCGAAATGGCTAGACGTCGATGCGGTAATTATCGCGCTGCGGTTTCTCGCAGCGTGAGTGTCGAGATTCTTTAACCCTATGCGGACGGGACGGTTCTAAATTAATCGTACCATAGAGTCCGGTTGCTGTCACGATAGGCATTTCAAATTGACAGTGCGGATTTCTGCTTAATGGCTATTTTCTTTCATAGCACTCCAAGATGTCAAATTGTGGACATAGTGGCCATAGCGATGCGTTTATGTGGACACATTTATGGGTTTTTCGGCTCTGTCAGTGTTCGCCAAACGGATATATGAGTTCCTCGGCGAAATTGATAGTTTAGTCGGCAAAGGCTTAAAGAGTTCCTCTTGTTCTTCTCGTTCTTCTCGTTCTTCTCGATCTCCAAAAGGAGTTCGACCTGTGTAAAGTTGCGAAGAGAAATCGTTCGACCATAGTCGATCTCGATCCGATTTTTTCGCCGATTCTTTTCGATTTCCGAGATCAGAGAAACTCATCGAGATGATAAACCTTGCGAGGATTTTGCAGAGTGCACGAGCGTCGACCTCGTCGACGGGGGAAATTTTCAATCGGTCCGTTTCGTCAGCGGCGAAGCCATTTACTCGCCCGAGTCCCCCTTTTTCTCTCCTCGACACGCTCGCCCCTACTTAACGCTTATTCCACGACAACCCCCGGCGACGACTCATCCCGTATCATCCCCTTATTCTACTCGTCTCTAACCCTCCGAAAATCCTGACCAATGGCGCGTCGTCCAGGGGAGAAACCATTGTCGATCCGACCAATCGTCGCGACTCGCAGCACGCACATGCGAGGATCGACGCGTTACAACGCTATTCTTCTTCCTATTTTCCTTTCTTCTCGCCCTCTCTCTCCCTCCTTCTCCGCTCGTCTATCCCTCTCTGTCCACGGGGATAGTCTCTTTATAATGCATATCAATTTGTGCCTAATGGCTGACACCGTTCCACCGGGTCGCATCTGCGGATTAATAGGAGCGTTCCTTATCCCCGACGGTTTTTAACGCACGCCCGCGCGCACGCGATCATTGTCCAACGGACAACGCGGATGATCAAACTGTCCCTGGTTTCCACGCCATCTCGATCGGGGATCGTTTGACAAGGATGCGGGTAATTTACCGTCGATGCGTTATGATTACCCAGAGTGGAGGCACTTCTCGAAGACGGTCACAAATCCGCGAGTTAGTTAGCGAGAGGATAGGACGAGAGGAGAGCGTGGAAACCCTTCGGGAACAGTTGTCCACGGGTTAAAGCCTCGTCGGAACTTTTGGTCTCGGATACTTTGTCGAACGGGAAGCTTGCGTGGAAAGTTTCTCGAGAACTTTCCACCCCTATCGCGGGACGATCCAGTGGGAATTTGTTCGAATCGTTGCTACGGTCTCGCGATAAAAATTTGCATCGTTCCATCTCGGTCTAACGAGATTTCGAAAAGTTTCCCGGAAGAGATACCCCGAGAGCTGGAAACTTTTGTCACATTCCCGGCAAATTTGACATAATTACGCGAGCTCTGGCGCGCATAAAGTCGGCGGAGAATATCGTGGTTGTTAATAGAGATTGTTGCGTAACACCGGTGAATTCGCGCGAGCCAAAATATTTGTCCGAGCTGTTTCCACGATAAAAAAAACAAAGAATTCCAGGCTGGAATCGCCTTTGTGCCAGCAACGGCGGAGAACGATGAAAGAAGGGTGGAGGGCGAGGGCAATAAAGGGGCATCGTGAGCGTACACGCGCGTGAAACGGGGAACGCCTGGAAACAAAGCGTGAAGCCGTGCGTGGAGCGTTTTTTGAAAATGCCAATTTATCGCGAAAGGGGTCGCAAGAGGACCTTGTTCGCTCACCGACGCGCCAGCTAAATGAATTTTAATTAATTTCTCTCCTCGCAGCCTTCCTTCCAACAGACCACGATTACGCGCGCGGACGCTGCAGGAATTTCCGAAATTTCCACCGATTTTCCGTGAATTTCGTCCTTTGGAATAGCATAACTCTCGCGAATCTCGCAATTCTTTGGGAATTCTTTTGGAATTCTTTGGGAATTTTTCGGTTAAAGGATCTAAGGAATCGAGTACACCGAATCAAAATTCTTCGGAGTTTATTTGCACAGTTATTACGATTAAACTGGAATTATACCGCTGTGCGGGCCCTGTTGAGATACATCAATAATATCGCGCGAAAGATCGATCACGGAAGGAGATGCGCCCCGTGCGAATCAGACGAGATTGACAGACGGCGACGGACAGCTCGCGTCCGATTCCAAGTAGAAACAGAAATGTTTCGCGGGATACGGGAAGCGATCAGACCTCGCGGGCACGAAATCCGTGCGAACGGAAACACCGTGGAAGAGTTGGCACGCTGAAATGTGCCATCAGCAGCGATACGATATCGCGTTCCCGTGACCCTTAATCGAATTCTCGCTCGCGGGATTCGCGCTGATCGTTAAAGAACCCGCACCTTTGTCTAGGAATCCCTCGATCCGTGATTTCCTCACGCGATGCCGAGCTATGGGTAAAAATCCGCCGGAAAATCGGAGTATCCGAGCTTTGCCTTGCTCGCGACGCTTTCGCGTCGACGTCGAGGGACTCGTCTCGATGGCGATATCGAGGCAACGCGTATAATCGAGTAACGACGCCATAGCGCAGCGACAGATGCACGCGCTAATGGATTTACGCGTCGAGAAACCGAATCGCGAGGCTGATCGTCCGCGAGACGAGCGTTTGCGCTTGGAAGCGGGGAAGAAATTGGAAGAAAAAGGAAAGAACGGTCGAGCAGACACGGTCGCTGTGGCAACGGACGGACGGACGGACGGAGAATAAAACTACAAGGTGAAATTAGTAGTGACTGTCCAGAAAGGAATCTCGTAACAGCAGCCGGTCGTGAGAGAAAGATCCGTGTGGCTGGCTGGACGCCTGGCGTCTATCCGTCGGGCCCCGAGCCAATGGGACGGCTCGTGGTCCGTCTCGCGAGTGTGTATACGCGCGCCTGTATATAGCTAAGTATGTAAATACATTGTCCAGGGACGCGGGCATAAAACGGCACGATATATGGCCCGGTAATTTCTTAATTGCGCCCCGAAAAATTCTTGTCATCGTAAACAGCCGGTTGATTATATTGAAACGACTCGAGGCGCCGGGGGCGTTTCGTGGATGAAACGAAGGCTGGACCAAAATGAACCCGGATAGGGGAGGCTGCGGGGCACGGGGAGGGAAAACGGCGATAGTAACTGCTTTGCCCGTTTATTTATGCGTCTCTAGCGTTAACCCTTTTGTCGCTGGAAATCGGACGATTTCGGTGCACGTTATTGCCCCCCTTCCTTCCATCGCCCTCCAGTTCCTCTTCTTCTCGCGTTAATCCACCTCCGCCCGTTTTAACGACGAGATCCTTCCGCGTGATTCATGACGCAGGACTCGCGAGTTATACGTCGGGCCTGACTTTCGCGAATTCGTCTTTTCACGGTGGTTTAATCTCCACAGAGGGATTTCCGAGGCCACGATCCGTCGTTTGTTTCGCGGAAACGACCGATTGCGATGGAAACCTGCGGCAGTGTGTGGAAATCCAGGTATTTCCTCGGGTTCTGGTAATTTGTCGAAGATTTAGCAGCGACGAATCCTACCGTACGTGCGACGACTACTAGATTGAAGTTTCTAAAGGCTTTATCTGTATGTTCGTCCTCAACCCGGCTGATAACCAACGAGCAACGAATTCGAAAGAAGTCTCGGATATAGTACTTGTGTAATAACGAGGTTGCTAGGAGAATGGATGGAAGACTCACCGGTATGCGTCCTCTTGTGGATCTTGAGATTTTCGGACCTGGCGAAGACTTTGCCGCAGCCGGGGAACGGGCAGGGGAAGGGTTTCTCGCCGGTGTGCACCCTTATGTGATTGACGAGCTTGTACTTGGCCTTGAAGGCCCTGCCGTTACGCGAACATCCCTGCCAGAAGCACGCGTGCGTGGTGCACTCGGGACCGCCCACGTGCTCCACCGTGAGGTGCGTCACGATATCGTGGAGGGAGTTAAAGAGTTTGCCGCATAGCTTCCTTCCGGGTCCGGGCGCGTCCTGGTCTACCCACATGCAGGACATTTCTTGCCGTTGGCCGCCGGCAACGCCACTGGTCCCGCCACCGCCGCTTCCGTTACTCCTCATATACCTCAAGAAGGCGCCATGCGGATGATGGCTAGGATGGCTGACGGCTGGATGTTGCTGATGATGGATCGACGCCGGCGTTAAATGAGGAGCGCCTAAGTACTGATGATGAGGAGGTAGCCTCGAGTCCTGGGGATAGTGTCCGGGGTAGTGGCTGGCTGCCAGAGGATGTTGGCTCGGATGATGAGGAAACTGCTGCATGGTCGCGGCGGTGCCGTCGTGGTGCAACGGCGTGAACAGTCCCAGGCCACTTTCCGGAGTGGTCGGGTTCGCGGTCGCGTTGAACTCGTGCTCGCGACGGAGTAGAAAATCGCGGGCCGCGTAGCCAGGATGATGGCTCATGTGGTGGCCCATGTGCGGCGCCATGTGCGACGCCGGATGGGGATGATGAGGAGGATAGCCTTGGGGGTGAAAGTGATGATGCTGTTGAGACGGAGCTTCACCTGGTGCCGGTTGCACACCTGTACCGGTGTCGGTGGAGCCAGCCGTGGCACCGCCACCGCTAGGCGACAGCTTGATGCCCAGATTGGCCAGGTGGTGTGGGTGCGAGGAGACGCCATCCAGGAAAGCGTTCATCATCGTGATGGACGAGACGTTGCGATTGCGGCTCGATCAGTTGAGAAACGAGACCATGTCTCGCGGGATACCTACATGGAACTTTGGAGAAGTTCTTCGAGACTCGGAACGCGCGTTGCTCGACAAGTTCAGGCAGCAACTCCGAGTAGACTTATTCCAAGTAAAATCGTGCACTCGTGGATCACTGCGTAGTATGTATGTACACTGTCTATGCAACCACACTCGAGTTCACTGTTTCCTCGCTCGCTCCGTCCATCGGTTCTCTCGGTTTCTCGAGGCTCACTGCATCGGCTGGTAGGCGATCGTAGTTTCGAGTCCTTCGCTCGCGTTCCCTCTACCGTAACTCTCTTCGCGATTCAAATTCGCGACCGTGTAAACACGCAACGAACCCGGTAGTCTCTGGAACGCGTACGAGACGATAGCGACGATACTCTCGCAGTCCCGTGGAACGTTTGCTGTCCCGGCGTCGCGAGAAACGGACGGTTTCACCCGGCCGACAGAGTAGTCTGCTCCGTTCACTCACGCCGAACCCGTTCTTCCGCGACACCGACGATTTCCGTGCATGTTCGAACAACGGCGATGCAGAGGACAAGTACACGGAGGACGGCGACGAACACGGTTCGCGTCAACGTCTTCAACGCATCGAATATGGAGGGTGAAACATCCGTGGCGTTCCTTGCTGCGTTCACAGCGGGACTGAGAGTCAGCACTGGGCTCCCGCCGAGGAGCAACTCGGCCGATTTCGGCGTTTACGAACCTGCCCTCTCTCTTTGTCCCGTCTATCCCTTCTTCTCTCTTGCTCCCCCTGCTCTGCCGCGCCTTCCTTCTTTCTCTCCGCTTCCTTCTCTCTTCAGCACCTGGAAACCACCGCACGGTGGAGCTCGTGTATCCTCGGGTGCTTGCCTGCTGGAAACACCCTCTACCCCCACTGAAGGCCACTCGTTGCACAGTGGATGCAAGCACAGGCTCCACCAGTGGCGGACGTTCCCTGGTGGATACCAGCGTTCCATTGGCGACGATGGCACCACTGGCAATTGGAGGCCCGTTGCCTGACCGGGCCTCTCACCGATCTAGCCGGTTTCCATGGGCGGGAAACACGACACGGCGCATGTCGCAACTCCGCCTTCGTGTGTACGCCTTTCGTGGGAGGATGGCTTCAGGGGCGTCGCGACCTCGACGCTCGATGGTCTTCCGCGTGTAGTCGGATCCAAGGTTTTTCCAGTAGTCTCGAATATCGCTCGCTCTTCGGGATCCTCGCCATTTCCACCGGATGGGTCCAAAGAGGTCGCGGGTACGTCAGTCCAGCAGACTAGGTCCTTGCAGACCTGTAAAAGAGATTCGAATTAGGGGTGGTGGTTCAAATTGGAAATAACTTTGACAGCGTGCACTCGTTTCCGAGACTTTGCCAGTCAGAACTATCGCCATATGCTCCGATTCTAGGACTTCCAGGACTCATGATCCCTGCTCCATTTACAATTTGGAGCATCCAAGCTCTTTAAACCTTCGTCGCGTTAGATACACGTGCAAATGTCAAACCTCTCGAGACGATTATTATACCCTTGAGCTTCTGATCATACCATGAGTCACTACCAACTAGACACCCCCGATCTAGCCTTTTAATAGCCTCTTAATAACCTTACGCGGATTAACTCCGATCCCATTGCTCCTTTTCCAGACATGTCTCTCGCCATTCATCAACACCTATCACAATATTTCCCAAATGCCGTCGTAGCGGCATTCCACCGTAATTCACCCAGTGCTTTTTCCACCCGAGCTGCAAAACGAATTCCGATGGCAAGCGAGTCGTGCACTCGCGCGTCGCGAAGTATACGCGATTAGCGGAAAAATATTAAGCCGGTCGGAAAGACGGCTAGTCACGCGAACCACTCGTTTATAAATTATCGCGGGGAAACGAGGTGGAAATCTTCCAGTTGAACGTTTAACCCCGGCTCTGAAACTATGCGCACGCATAATCGCGCTACGCTCCTTCCTTCTCCACTCGCTTATCCAATTAACCGAGTTTACTCACTCGCAGCGCCGATTAATTACACCAGACACACCGGTGTTTCCAGCTTTTCTTCGCGCTTCCGGGTACCACGTAATATCCTCGCGAGTAGACGCAGCGAGACGCGGAAGCTTGCGTGTATCTCGCCGGGGAATTAAACGCTTCGATATTTCACCGTCGAAATTCTTCCAGCCAATTTCCACCTTTCCTCCCCGATTTTCTTCCGACGTTCCCGCTATCCTTTCCCCGGCGAATCGACGGATAGGAAATTAAACGCGTCGAAACGATTCGCTGACAGCCGCCGATGGGAAATTAATTGGGACCGGCTCGATCGGCGAAAATCGTTTACCAATATGGAAACCACGTGCATTGGCGTCCAAGGCTAGGATAGCCCGTTTGGAAGTTGAGACGTTCGAAAGTTGGTACCACTTCCTGGCGGGTAGGCTACCATGGATAGCACTGTTCACCACGCTCCCAGTTGAATTGAGGATTTTCGCGAATAACGAAAATTAATGATCCTAATCCCGGCAACTCAGCGGTGGTATTGACCCATTGTAGGCCAATAAACAAATGACCTTAAAGAGCTACAGGGTGCTAGGAAACCCTTTGAAGAAAGTCGGTTTTCCCCAAGCTCGGTTTCATCGAATCTCCTCGACAAATGGCTCGCACTGCGGGTGGCTCGGACCTCGTACTCATCCGTGATTAGACAATAGGGAAATGGAGGATCGATGCGTGTTTCGCAGGAAACTGCGAATGTTTGGCGGATTTTTAATCAACCGTACCTGCCTTTGCCACTTAATATCGTTAGCCCGAGGATTACGACCAGCTCGATCGAGTTTGATCCACTGCGAGCCATTTAATCCCGTTAAACTGTTTTTCTTTCTCCTGCAAACTCGACGAGTGTTTAAGCTTCTCATTGTTCATCGATCGCCTTTTTTGACCAGTCGATTGCCACCGGTGATAAATGAAATACGTTTCTGTAACAGGAGGTTACTCTCGGTTGTCGGAAATTAAAGCCGAGTTAACGGTTAGGGCCCTAGAAAGCTCGACATTGAGCAGCTCTCGTTAATTAGACAGAAAAACCGTTTGTTTCTTAGAAATTGCTCGGTATTGCCAGTTATCGATAGCACTCGTCCCGAGTCCTCTCGTGGCACCACACCACTGTTTTACCCCATTGTCTCGGTGACAATACAGATAGGATTACTTTTACCATTGATCCCTCCACTCTACCTGCTTTCGTGACACAGCTTTTGCTTACCTGCTTCGACAGGTTATTTACCGAAACTCTGCTTGCGAGGCCCAATAATCTCTCGACTAAGAAACGAAATTCAGACAGGGCTAATGAAAATGAATGTGGTCGGGCTGAAAGCCGTTTGCGGAAAGCAACTAACGGACCCGCCCATCGCAGTCCCGTTCGCTCGGAAATAATTCGCTCGAGCTTGCATTCCAAATAAGAATTAACCAGCAGGCGATGGACGAATGAACGCGACCAATTTGTTCGATTTCGAGCTTTCAAAACGCCGAATCGGAATATTTTCTAACCAGAATATCGGCATTTTTGCTCAGCGGAAATCGGCTTTGTCTCGCCGTCCCACCCGTCTTCGTGTTTCGTGGCTCGCTGCCATTGGATATATTAACGAAGCTTAATCATCCGTGTGAATAATGCAAACACATCGAGTGTTTAACGGGGTGCCTCATTGTCGCGGGAAAAAATGGCGTCCCATTATGTCCGTAATGGGCACGGTGGCTGACTATTTGATATTAATAACTACCATAAAGCCGGACTCGTGGCTCCTCCGTGCACTTAGGAGGTACATCTGAATGATGCTTTCCATCCACCTTCTGTCGCTTACTAACAGCACGACCCGTTCCTCCGCTACACACATCGATCCTCCGCGTTCGTGCACGATCGGACCGCGTACGAACACGAGTCACCGCGTGCGTGCCTTTTGAACCGAATTCGAGGCATCATTTTTATCGGAAGTCACGGACGAGCCGTGTCATTCATGCTGCTCGACGTTTTCCATATCGTCGTTACGTCTGATCCTTTGTAACGAAATTACCGTCCTTTCTTACCCGACAAATTGGATAACCCAAGTTCCCCGTAGATGTCTCGAGAAGTTCCCTCCCCCCTGTTTCTTTTTTAGCACCAGTGCCACGAATCGGGAGGGAATATTCGCGGGTTGGATAAACTCGGAAAGGGGCACGAATTCGCTGGCATTTTTCGAGAGGCAAATGGTCCCTCGCGGGTTATTAACGATCCCACGCGAACGCAACTCAACGATCCGTACTGCCGAGTACATTCGTGAACGGACCATCAATCTAAGGGTCCACGATAGAACTTTCATCACGGGAGTGCGGTTACAGGGTCGCGAAACGCGAACACGACGTACGCACCTACGCGATCGTTCGTTCGTTCGCGAGGGCCATCAACAAGGCCAGACATTGTTTCGTTCGTTCATCAGTCACGCTCACCGTGCAGTCGTTACATTTAATTAATCGTTAATTGCGAGATCGTGAGCGGATCCTTGCGTTCGGCATCATGGCCAATGCCGATGAAGAGTTGCAGAGGTCGGACTACGTTCTACCACGAAATTGGCCTAATGTTTTACTACACCGTGACAACTGACGGAGATACCCTAAGATATCGTTGAGAAATTTTCTGCACCGGTTATGTCGTATTTGTTGGAACAGTAGAATAATCGCGACATCTGCTGATTAATATTTTAAGTATGATAAGGTGGGTGTAACGTAGTCGAGCCACGTGCTGGTGTCTCAGTCTTGTTTCAGCAATCCAATACAGCCGATACGTGATTTTTGTGTATTTAATTTGTGAATTGAAATATATTTGGTTTGTGATACACTAAAAAGAGTTTCCTGCCACCACCTAAACAATTCCAATAGTATTTTTACGAATACGAAATTCGTATGAACGAAATTCAGATGAACGAATACGTGAATATATGTGAATATAAAGGATAAAGCCTGTACCTTCGTA